GCGCGTGGCTCACGCTCTGTAATCCCAGCACTTTGGGAGGCAAGAGCGGCGGATCATGAGGTCAAGAGATGAGGATCCACTCTGACTAAACGGTTGAGACCATCCTGGCTAACATGACGAAACCCCGTCTTTACTAAAAATACAAAAAATTAGCTGGGCATGGTGGCACGTGCCTGTATTCCCCGCTACTCGGGAGGCTGAGGCAGGAGAATCACTTGAACCCAGGAGGCAGAGGTTGCAGTGAGCTGAGATCACGCCACTGCACTCCAGCCTGGGCGACAGAGCAAGACTCCATCTCAAAAAAAAAAAAGAAAGAAAGAAAAGAAACAGAATCAGAATTATTGACCACAGTCCTCGTGATGCTAACGCAGAGCTCCCGTCTGACCCAGCTGTTCACTTCTTGGTATTTATCCACAAGAAAGAAAAACACACATCCACATAAAGACTGGTCCACGGTGGTGATGGGGGTACAACAGTGTGAATCCACGTGATACCACAGAGTTACGCACTCAGAAATGGTTAACTTGGTACATTTTATGGTATGAGAATTTCACCACAATGAAAAACTTGTACATGAATATTCAAGCAGCATTATTCGTATAGTTAAAAAGTATTAAGAACTCAAATGTCAGTTAGATAACAGGTGGATATAAAAAACATACTATATCCAAACAAAGGAATATTATTCAGCCATAACATAGAATGAACATTTGTAGGGTCCAGCCCCACAGGGTCAGTGGGCTTTTCTCCCTGTGTGCAGAGAGGAGAGATTGTAGAAATAAAGACACAAGACAAAGAGATAAAAGAGAAGACGCGGAGACCGGTAGTGGCCCCGAATGCCTGGCTGCGCTGTTATTTATTGGATACAAAGCAAAAGGGCAGCGTAAGGAGTGTGAGCCATCTCCAATGATTGACAAGGTCGCGTGAGTCACGTGTCCATTGGACAAGGGGCCCTTCCCTGTTTGGCCACCGAGGCGGAGAGACAGAGGGAGAGAGAGGACACAGCCTACGCCATTATTTCTTCATATCAGAGGTTTTTAGTACTTCACTAACTTTGCTACTGCTATCTAGAAGGCAGAGCCAGGTGTACAGGATGGAACATGAAGGCGGACCAGGAGTGTGACCACTGAAGCACAGCATCTCAGGGAGACGGTCAGGCCTCCGGATAACTGCGGTGGGCCTGACAACCACGAGAGGTGGAGGAGCAGAGTCTTCTCTGAACTCCGCCAGGGGAAGGGGGACTCCCTTTCCGGGTCTGCTGAGTAGAGGGTGTTTTCCTTGACACTGACGCTACCGCTAGACCACGGTCCGCTTGGCAATGGGCGTCTTCCCCGACGCTGGCATTACCGCTAGACCAGGGAGCCCTCTGGTGGCCCTGCCCGGGCATCACAGAAGGCTCACACTCCTGTCTTCTGGTCGCTTCTCACTATGTCCCCTCAGCCCCTATCTCTATATGGCCTGGTTTTTCCTAGGTTATGATTGTAGAGTGAGGATTATTATGATATTGGAATAAAGAGTAATTGCTACAAACTAATGATTAATGACATTCATATATAATTCTATGATCTATATCTAGTATAACTATTCTTATTTTATATGTTTTATTACACTGGAACAGCTCGTGCCCTCGGTCTCTTGCCTCGGCACCTGGGTGGCTTGCCGCCCAGAAACATCGATTCATCCTGTAGCACAGATGAACCTTGAAAACACGATGCTTGTGAAAGAACTGGACAAAAAGGCCACACTCTGTGTGATTCCATTCATACCAACGTCCAAACTAGGCCAGTCTGTACAGAGAGAATGAATTACTGGTTGCCAGAGGCTGGGGAAGTTGGGGGAGATGGGGAGCGAGTGCTAATGGGTACAGGGTTTCTTTTTGGGGTGATGAAAGTATTCTAACATGGATTGTGGTAATAGTTGTGTAACTTTGTGAATATGCTGGAAACCATTGAATTGAATACTTTTAAATGGGTAAGTTGTATGGTAAGTGAATTATATATCATAACTGTTAAAAATATATATGATATTGGCTGGGCACGGTGGCTCACGCCTGTAATCCCAGCACTTTGGGAGGCTGAGACAGGCGGATCACGAGGTCAGGAGATCGTGACCATCCTGGCCAGCATAGTGAAACCCCATCTCTACTAAAAACACAAAAAAATTAGCCGGGCGTGGTGGCGGGCGCCTATAGTCCCAGCTACTAGGGAGGCTGAGGCAGGAGAATGGCGTGAGCCCAGGAGGCAGAACTTGCAGTGAGCTGAGATCACGCCACTGTACTCCAGAGCCTGGGTGACAGAGCGAGACTCCGTCTCAAGAAATATATATATATCTATATATATTTTTTTAATTATTTTAATTAGACATAGAAGAACATGAATAGACTAGAAATATATATACATATGTTTTATATATATATAAAACAAGGTGTTAATGATTTTCTACTAGTAGACTAGTAGATTTGTAGTAAGTTTTTTCTACTATATATACTTTTCTGTAATTTGGGAAAACCTCCCTTTCAATTTTAATAACCAGGGAAAATTTATATTTAAAATATCAAAGAAAGAAAATTAGTTGCAATGTAATAAACTCTGCTTTCTTATTAGGCTTTATTCAGAATTAATCTTGATCATTCCTAGAGGAAAGAACTCTTTCCCTCATAATATTTCACAGGTAATTCGACTTGAGTAAAGCAGGAAACACCCACCCTCACACCAAAGAAGGGTGATGGCACTGCCCACCCATCAGACTGGGCACCATTAGAAGCTGGGTGGGGCCCAGGTTGGGAAGTGGGGTGCCTTGGGTGTCATTGCTGGGATGGGAATTGGAGCAACCTCCTGGCAGCCCACCAGACAGCACCTGTCACAGTGGGAGGTGCCTGTCTCCCTTAGTGAGCACCCACTGCCACCATCAATAGACCCACAGGCCCCTTGGCCACCGCAGTGCATAAGAACCAGGATGGCCGTGGAGTCCGTGTGAGAACCGGGACAGCCCTTGCATCTGGCTGAGCAAATTCTGGTGCACCCCGTGAGGGAGCCCTTCCTCACCTGTCAGCGGATCAGACGTACTGATGGGAAGCTTGTCCAAACACGCTGAGAGGAGGCAGCCAGAACAGTCATGGACACGGTGTGCCCCATACGTGCAGATCAAGAGCAGCACACACGTGGACCTGCAGGTGGCATGGCGGTGAGCCGGAATCCTGAGAAACTTGTGACGGTGATCATCTTTCACAGAGGTCAGAGTTGAGTGCACTGTGGCTTCTGATTGGCGTCTTTCTGAGCCCTCATCACTGCATTTCATGGACACTGTGGGAGTCTTTGGGGAATGAGACCTAAATCCAAACCCTGGGGACAGTGGCTGTGGAGAGCTTGTGTGGCTGTTAGGGGCTTGGCCCTGGAGCCAGACACCTGGGTCGTCCCCAGCTCTGCTCTGGGCGTGTGGCCTGGAGCAGATCACCTGGTCTCTGCCCCGTTCTCATCTGTGACGTGGCAGTGGGGGTCGGACAGTTCTCAGCGGGCTGCCATAACAGGTGGCACACAGTGCTCTAGGGGCCCAGGATGCAAGGGTGAGCTCAGCAGAGGACGTTCCCCATGTGGGGAGCTGCTCTTGTGTTTCGGAGAGAGAATGAGTGAATGATGAACAAATGAGTGGTAGACAAGACGTCTGCAGCAGGAAACCACCCTGCGAATGATTCAGACGGGGCAGTGAGCTGGTGAGCAACAGTGAGCTCCAGACCGGCGCAGGCTCTGCCTTGGAGACGGGGCTGGAATTTGAGGAACGCAGCTGAGCCTGTGGAGAGAAGAGTCTAGGGTAGGGACCTTCCAGGCAGCGGGCTCTGCGGCTTGTGTGGGTGGGCTGCTCGGTGGCCTGGGGCAGTGGAAGGGCATGGCAGGGCAGAGAAGCCTGGGTTCCATCCCAGCGTCCAGGAGCTGATGGAGGATCCTGATGAGCTGTCTGGGCCTCTGTGTGGAGAGCAGATGGGTCAGGAGGAGGCCACTGGAGCTGCAGGGGAAGGGGTGGCGTTCCAGACAGGGACCACGGTGCTGGGCCCAGGGCCAGATGTGGGCCCGGCAGTGTGACGAAGCTGTCAGGAGTGCAGCAGGCCTGGACTGCTTGGCTGTGAGTCCGTCTCCGTTCCTGCCAGGGCTGCAGAAAGGGGCCTCCTTCCGAGTCGCAGACGTGGGCGCAGCGGGCTCTGAAGGACGCTGCCTCACATTTGCTTCTGTGGCTGCTGTTGATCCCTTCATTCCATCCCTCTGCTTCAAGCTGAGCTCTGCTCTGATTCCCCTAAGGAATCGTGGCAGTTTGCGATTTGAGTTTCCGGCACTTCTGCTTTAAGCCAGGCTGCAGAGGCTGACACCCTTGGGAATCATAGGTTTCTTCCACCGAGGAAACTTTCACCAGAATTGTGGCCTGAGTGGTGGAAGGCTAAGGTTAAATACAGGTATATTTGTAAAGACCTCAGATAGTGGAAGTCCGTTGGCTGAGATGGTGATCTATTCTGATATCCGGGTGGTATATTATAAACAGAACATAGCAAAGAATTACTTTCTACAGACACAGACTTCAGTGGCTGTATCAGGAGTGCCTTGATGATGGTCGCTAGAGTTCGTCCATCAGGAGACCGCAGTGGGGCACGGAGAGCAACCACTGCCTGACGGAGACTTTCGCGTGCGGCTGAGGCCTGACGAGGAATTTTATCATCAGGCATCAGCTGAGATAGGAACGCCGTCAGTCGAGAATTTTCACATCCTAGAATACGTATTCACCCCAAAGTATTGACTGCAAACCAATCCAGCTTCTACCTTTGGCTCAACATAACTTAATTTCTGAGATGAGTATGATTCATAGGGTGTTTTTGTATTTGAAAATAAAGATGTGTGTGATTCAGGTAATTTATTTTGTAGCATGTTAAAGAAAAAAAGTGAAAGGTTATTTCATTGAGTTTTAGAGAACTGTGTTTTGGAAGTGAAATCACATGTCGCTTCTTTTTTCTTTCCTAGCATTGTCATGGAAGTTCTGCGAATCCTGGTTTTGATTGGTCAGATTCTTTTTTCGCTAGCGGCGGTTTTTCTTTTATGTCTTGTTATAAAGAAGTATCTCATTGGACCCTATTATCGGAAGCTGCACGTGGAAAGCAAGGGGAACAAAGAAATCCTGATCTTGGGAATATCTGCCTTTATCTTCTTAATGTTAACGGTAATTCTCAAACTGTGTTATTTATGAAATCTGATACCTCTTTCACTGAAATCTTGTGATCCATTCTTTACCTTTTCATTTTAATAATGGTTAAAATATTTGAAACATTTACTAGTATTTTTTATTTTATACACACTTTCTTATACTACCCATCAATATGTAATACAATGAGCTAAACCCGTTTAACTGGCTTGACTCATACTTTTAAGCACTTTGCTAAAATACTGTTTGTGAGTATTACATTAAATCTGTGGGCCAGGTGTAGTGACTGACACCTGTAATCCTAGCATTTGGGGAAGCCAAGGCAGGAGAATCGCTTGAGCTCAGAAGTTTGAGAACAGCCAGGACAACATAGTGAGAACCCCTCCTCTACAAAAAATAGAAAAATTAGCCGGGCATGGTTGTGCTCACTTATAGTACCAGCTGCTGGAGAGACTGAGCTGGGAGGATGGCTTGAGCCCAGGAGGTCAAGGCTGCAGGGAGCTGTGATCGCACCACTGCCCTCCAGCCTGGGTGATAGAGCAAGACCCCATATCAAAACAAAAAAACTGTGATCATAAAAAGCGCCATAAACACTAATATCAAACCATGCTACTCTGTCTTAAATTTTCAAATAGCTTTCAACCTGAAATACAAAATTAAGTTTGGAAAAGCAGTTTTTAACTCTGTGTTGCTCACATGCTAATTAACTGTATGACTTATGCCATGTGGAAGGTTAAATAAATAAAGTTCATTTTGGAAAGTGGGCTTCTCCTTACTGAGACGACAGTCTTTACATGAGAGGTAGGAAATGCTCCTGGACCCCCATAGAGAGCCTCAGTGGTCCTGACAGCGCGCCTGGGCACCGTCACCGTTCAGCCCAGCAGGTGCACTTCCTGCTGTTTATCCCACAGAAACAAAGCCGTGTTCACACAGTAGTAGCCTGTACACAGGTGTTTATAGCAGCTTTATTCATATTAGCCATAAACAGTCCAAAGGTACTTTAGTGGGTAAATAAATGTTCAACAAACTGAGCTATGTCCACACCACAGAATGCCACTCAGCAGTAAAACCACCAGCACACACCTCCTGAGAACTGTGCAGAGTGGGCAGGCAGCCCCCAAAGGCTGTATACTGTGTGGTTCTTTTTGTGTCACATTTATGAGGTGAGAAGATTACGAAATTGAGGAAAGGCTCGTGGTTCCCAGGAACTGAGGAAGAGTGGTCTGGGGAGGGGCTGGGGATGGCATTCGCTGTCTTAGCTGTATCCGTATCAGCACCTGAGTGGGGTCTTGTGCTGAAATTTGGCAAGATGTTACCATTGGGGAAACTAAAGGGTAATGAGGACTTTGTATTATTTCTTAAAACTGCAGGTTAGTATATAATTATCTCAAAATAAAAAGTTTCTGGCCGGGCGCAGTGGCTCACACCTATAATCTCTGCACTTTGGGAGGCTGAGGCAGGCAGATCATGAGGTCAGGAGTTTTAAGACCAGCCTGGCCAACATGGTGAAACCCCGTCTCTACTAAAAATACAAAAATTAGCTGGGCATGGTGGCACACGCCTGTAATCCCAGCTACTCAGGAGGCTGAAGCAGGAGAATTGCTTGAACCCAGGAAGCAGAGGTTGCAGTGAACTGAGATCGCACCACTGCACTCCAGCCTGGGCAACAGAGCAACAAGACTCCGTCTCAGGGGGAAAAAAAAAAAGTTTCCACCGGGCGCAGTAGCTCACACCTGTAATCTCAGCACTTTAGGGGGCCGAGGTGGGTAGATCTTCTGAGGTCAGGAGTTTGAGATCAGCTTGGCCAACATGGTGAAACCCTGTCTCTACTAAGAATACAAAAATTACCTGGGCGTGCTGGCACACGCCTGCAGTCCCAGATACTTGGGAGGCTGAGGCAAGAGAATCACTTGAACCCAGGAGGCAAAGGCAGAGGTGATAGAGCAAGACTCTGTCTCAAAAAAAAAAAGTTTCCATTTTAAAAAAGTAAATTAACAAAAATTGTTTCTTATATATAATTTAATTGCCTGCTACTATTTTGTAAACTTGGGAGAAAATTATGATTTGCTTCTGGCTGTAGTGATTTTAACTATTTCAAGAGTGTGACTTATTTAAGTTTTTACATTGCTTTATCCATTCCAGAGTATTTTTCTCTTTGAAAATAACTCCGAGTGAAATTGTCTTATCTGGACAACTTCGGTGTTGCCCTCCCAGTGGCTTCTTCCATTATAGTGACTCTCTCCCCGGCTCTCGGGTTTTCTCGCTCACTGGGCAGCACTCACCTTGCACCTGCTGCCAGTCGCTTGGGGTGCTGGGCCTTCTGCGCGTCTGCACCAGGTGCCACAATGGATTCTTTCCACTGTTCAGTCTTAGGATTTGTTTCCATTTAGAGCTGTTACGAATAGAGCCGCTGTCCATTCTCGTGTGTTTGGAAGGTGCTGACTGCTGATGAGCCTCGTGCGGTGCCTGTGGAGGTGGGTTGCAGGGATCACAGTAAACAGGAGCTCAGCCTTAGTCATGACGTGGGTTTCTCCACAGTCGCCATGCCAGTGCCAGCCTGTCTTGCCACTGTGCCATGAGCATGCCGTGCCCCACAGCCTCTCTGCACTTGCTGCGGGTGTGGAGCTTCTCAGGGCTCTGACGGGGGCTCGGACAGGAGCTCCAGTGTCCACTTCCTGATGGCTGGTCTCTCGAGCCCTTCCGGAGGCTCAGCCCATCCTGCTGCTGTGCTGTGAGCACGCCGTGCCCCACAGCCTCCCTGCACTTGCTCTGTGTCTGGAGCATCTCAGGGCTCTGACGGGGGCTCCAGCATCCACTTCCCAATGACTAGTCCCTCGAGCCCTTTCAGAAGCTCAGTGGCATCTGGGTGTTGTCCCGGTGGTGTTCCTATTAAAGCCTCCAGGATGTTCTTCTGTATACAGGGTGAGGATTTTCTTCTCATTTGTAGGAATTATTTTTTATATGTCGGCAGATTTTTTTGTCCTTTTTAAAAATTTATTTACTGAGATGAAATTCACGTAAAATTTGCCATTTTAATCATTTGAAAGTCAGTATTCAAAATGCTTTGCCACCATCACCACTATCCAATTATATCCACCTCCCCAAAGGAGTCCCCATCGCTCTCAGTTCTCCCCCTAACCTCCTCATGGCCACGGAGCCACTTCCTGGCCCTGAGGGCCGCTGTTTCCGGCCACGTCACATGGGGGCCTCTGTGTCTGGCTTCCATTTAGCGTCACGCCCTCCAGGCCTGGCTGCGTTGCCGTGCGCACCAGCACTTCACCCCTTTTTATGGCTGAAAAACATTCCATGCCAGCATGTCAGATACGTGTTTGCAAATGTCTCGCAGTCTGTGACTTGGCTTTTCACTTTCTTACTGGTATCTTTCGATGAACAGAAGTTCTTAATTTCAGCGTCATCCAGTTATGAATTGTTTTCTTCGTGGCTGTCTTCTGTGTCTGTGTGAAAGATCCGCCTGCCCCTGGGTTGTAAAGATGCTCTTTACTATTGTCAGTGAGCGTTCTGTTGTGCTTTTCTCATTAGCTCTGCAGTCCACTCAGAGGTGAGCTTCCGTTGTGTTGCAAGTGAGGGAGTGGATGAGGATTCCTTCATTCACGTGCGTTTCTGAATGCCATGCGTTGAAAAGACCTCTTGTCCCCCTTCTATAGCGTCACTCTGTCAAAAACCAAGTAGCCATGTTTGTGCGTGCATGTGCATGTGTGTGTGCTTTGTGCATGACGTGTACCTGTGTGCGTGCATGTATGTGCTTTGTGTATGGTGTGTACATGTATGCTTTGTGGTGTGTGTACGTGGTCTGCATGTGTGTGCTTCGTGGCATGTCTACGTGTGTGGTATGCTTTATGTGATTGTGTATGTGGGCATGCATGCATGTGCCTTATGTGTGGCATGTGTACATGTGTATGCGTTTGTGTGTGCATGCATGTGTGTACTTTGGTGTGGCATGTGGTGTGTGTATGTGTGTGTGGCATGTGGGCGTACATACATGTGTGCTTTGTGTGCGTGTGGTGTATATGCATGTGGTATGTGTTCGTGTGTGTCTGCTTTGTGTGTGATGTGTGTACCTGTGGTACGTGTGTGTGTGTGTGTGTGCACATGCCTCTCTGACTCTGTCCACCTGCCCTCAGCTGCACCGTAGCTTGATCTCTGTGTTGGGCCCAGCTTTGTTCTATGCTAGGGTCGTCTTGGCTCTATTCGTACTCTTTCCAGATTCCACTCGAGTGTTTAGATTCAGCTGGTCAGTTTCACACACACAGAAGTCTCTTGGCATTCCTGTGTGTCTGTCGGCCAGGTGAGGGAGCATCCGCCGATCTGCCGTGCTGAGCCCGTGGTGCTGTTATCTCAGTCTTTCGTCTTTCGTGGGTCTCAGTGTCTTACAGTGTCGGGTGCGGGTCTTCTTTTGGGTTGAATCCTCAGGATGTGATGTTTTTGTTGCCATTAAAAATCGTAGTTCTTGGCCGTGCGCGGTGGCTCAAGCCTGTAATCCCAGCACTTTGGGAGGCCGAGATGGGCGGATCGCGAGGTCAGGAGATCGAGACCATCCTGGCTAACACAGTGAAACCCCGTCTCTACTAAAAAATACGAAAAACTAGCCGGGTGAGGTGGCGGGCGCCTGTGGTCCCAGCTACTTGGGAGGCTGAGACAGGAGAATGGCGGGAACCCGGGAGGCGGAGCTTGCAGTGAGCTGAGATCCGGCCACTGCACTCCAGCCTGGGCGACAGAGCGAGACTCCATCTCAAAAAAAAAAAAAAAAAAAATCGTAGTTCTTGACAAGTTTCTTTTCTTTTCATCTGATGCTGCTATCGTCTACAATTTTACTTTCTCAAGATAAAAATCATCTTTCAGGTTGGCCGGTGTCAGCCGTGCCTCATCCACAAGGCTGCCGGAAGCCTGCGTTTCGCAGAGCTGCCATGAGGCTCCTGCGTCGTGGCTGTCCAGCCAGCACTCTGCCGTGGCCGCGAATCTGGGTTATCAGATCAGCTGCCGCAGACATGCCAATGCTTCTCTCTGGCTTCGTGCCCGCCTAGTTCCATTGCTTGTCGCCCTGTTGCTTTCTCTCTGCTTTGAGGCTGGTAGTGGGAATGCGTTTCTAACACTACCACCAGGCTATGCTGATTCAAGGTAAAGAAAACATATCACAAATATTTAAAACAATTCAAAAATATTCTCATTCAAAAATTTCAGTGCAATCTGTATGGATATTTGTTTCAAATATTTTTAAATAATTTTTTTCCCCCAGTAAGGTTAATTCAACTAATAGCAGCCTCTACATGTCAACCTCTGAGACCCAGCAGAGGCCCCAGGACCACTCTCCATTTGCGCAGCTTCTGTGTTTTCTTGTGGTGGCTCTGCTGGGTCTCGGGGTATCCTTGGGATGGGGGTGACCCTGGTGCACTGTGGGATCTCGTGTAAAGCTCAGTCCTGCCTCTCTCAGGTCACGGAGCTGCTGGACGTCTCCATGGAGCTGGGCTGTTTCCTGGCCGGAGCGCTGGTCTCCTCTCAGGGCCCCATGGTCACCGAGGAGATCGCCGCCTCCATTGAACCCATCCGCGACTTCCTGGCCATCGTTTTCTTCGCCTCAATAGGTAATCTTCCTTCTTTACATTATAATTGTGTGGGTTAAACACATGCAGAGTGGTTCTGTAATGTGTTTATGTGCATATATATTTATATTTTCTATAGCAAAAATGGTTATCTTAAAAATTAAGTGTATTCAGCATATTTCAGTTTGGATTGCTAGTAGCCAGAAACTATTTTCTGCTTTATAGAGCGCAGAGAAATCTTATTTTATTATACTGTTTCTTCTGTCCCACTTTTCTTTTAGGCTCGGGGTGCCTGTGTAAGTTCGTGACACGGGTAATGAGTGTAGCAGGGCTTTGGTGTGCAGATGGTTTTGTCACCCAGGTAATGAGCATAGGACCCTCGGTAGTTTTTTAATCCTCACCCTCCTCCTCCCAGCCTCCACCTCGCACAGGCCCCAGTGTCTCTTGCTGCCGTCTTTGCGTCTACAGGTACTCGGTGTTGAGCTCCCACTTTTAAGTGAGAACATGTGGTATCTGGTGTTCTGTTCTTGGGTTAATTCATATGGAGAACAGCCTCCAGCTGCATCCGTGTTGCTGCAAAGGACGTGATTTCCTTCTGCTATGGTTATGTAACATTCCCTGACGTGTCTGTGCTGCGTTTTCTTCATCTGGTCCACTGTTGATGGACAGTGGGATCCTTGGAATTCACAGTCTGGGCCGATTCCATGTCTTTGCTGTTGTGAGAGGCATGGTGATGAACATGTGAGTACCTGTGTCTTTATGGCAGAAGGATGTATGTTCCTTTGGATGCACACCCAGCACTGGGATTGCTGGGTGCAGTGGTAATTCTGTTTTCAGTTATTTGAGAAATCTCCAGACTGGTTTCCATCGCGGCTAATTTACAGTCCTACCAATGGTTGTCTAAGTGTTGCCATTTCTCCACAACCTCGCCAGCATCTGTTGCCTTTTGACCTTTTGGAATCGCCATTCTGACTGGTGTGAGATGGTATCTCATTGTGGTTTTGATTTGCGTTTCTCTAGTGACCAGAGATGTTGAGCATCGTTTCCATATACGTGTTGTGTTGGCCGTGTCAATGTCTTTCGAAAAGGGTCTGTTCTTGTCCTTCCCTGTTTCCTAATGGGCTTGTTTGCTTTTTGCTTGCAGATTTGTTTAAGTTCCTGCTAGATTATAGATACAAGACCTTTGTCAGATCCATAGTTTGGAAGTATTTTCTCCCATTCGTAGGTTGTCTGCCCTGCTGAGCATTTCTTTGCTGGGCAGAAGCTCCTTAGTTTAGTTGATCTCACTTGTCAATTTTTGTTTTTGTTGCGATGGCTTTTGCAGTCTTCTTCATGAAACCTTTGCCAAGGCCGATGTTCAGAGGTTTTCTTACAGGGATTTTATAGTGTTCAGCTTTACATATAAGTTTTTATTACACCTTGACTTGATTTTGTATGTAGTGTTAGGAGGGGGTCCGGTTTCCGTGTTCTGCGTGTGGCTGGCCAGCGATCCCAGCACTGTTTGTTGAATGGGGAGGCCTGTTCTGGTGCTTGTTATCGTAGGCTTTATGGAAGAGCCGATGGCTGTGGGTGTGCGGCCTTATTTCTGGGTCCTCTACCTGTCCCGATGGCCTGTGTTTCTGTGCCAGTGCTGTGCTGTTCTGGTTGCTGTAGTCTGTGCTAGAGTTTGGAGTCAGGTGGCCTCTGCTGCCTCCAGCTTTGTTCCTTTTGCTTGGAGTTGCTTTGGCTACTCGGGCTCTTTATTCTGCAAGAGGAAGATTGTTGCCATGCACACGATTGCTGGTCACTGCCATGCTTTATTGCCGCCGAGATGTGTGCTGTCGGTGGGCATCGAAAGCAGCCAGATCACCTTCAGGGGAGAATGCGTGTTCTCATTCCCCCTCATCACGGGCACTGGTGCCCACACAGGGCAAGTCCTGGGAGCTCAGGGTCGGCCATGGAAACTAACATGTCAGTGGCAAATTTGGAGGAAATACTAATTTTGACACAAAAAATTTAAATTGAGCATACTGAGATGGGCCCTTTGTTGGGTTCTGTGGAGCAGCCTGGAGTAGTGACTTGAAAGGGATGGAATCACAAGGGGTCTGGCGTCGGGACACATCCCTGGCAGCTGTCCACTTGGCAGGGGTCTGAGATGCCCTGTGCTTTACAGGGGCCACAGACTCAGCACAACCTCAACAAAACTGAAAATTCAAAAGCTGATTCCGAATTTTATGTGGAAATTCAAAGGCCGTAAATAGCCGAGGCAGTCCTGAAAGCAGCAGAGTTGGGAGGCTTGGGGCCCTTGTCGCAGGTGAAATAGGACCATTCAGCAGGGGCTCCGTGACCTCCTGACCCCAGTGCAGCCTTATGAGCCACTGTGTCCCGGGAGCACCTCCCCCCGCCTACCTCTGTGTTGACCCCACACGTCTCCTGCACCCCGCTCGCCCACCCTCCCTCCCTTTGCTGCGTGACTCCCACCTCCTCCCCCTTGACCCCCACCCCTCCCTTCCTGTGACCACACCACCTTCCTCCCCTGCCCCCCGCCCTTCCATCTGTGCGTGACCCCCGCCTCCTCCCCCGTGCCCCCACGCCCTCCCTCGCTCCGTGACCCTACTATCCTCCCCCATGCCCCCGTCCGACCTCCCTGTGTATGACCCTGCTCTCCCCTGCCCCCCTGCCCTCCGTCCTGGATTGACGCCTCCTCAGGAAGCTAAATAAACTGATTTCCTGATCTTCCTTTCACTTCTTTTAGATGAGGACTAATACTGATTTTTCCCATGTTGCCCCAGCCCCAGGCTGCCCTGGCCATGACCCGGTGTCTTGTCAGCCAGGACTTTGTTGCACATGCATGTTTGAGAGCTGCTCTGGTTAAAAAAATCTTAAAATTTCATAAATATGTTATTTACGCAGACATACTTGCAATTATCTTCAAACTAGAGTTCTTTTGTATTGAGAACCCTTTCAATTCACATAATTCTGCGTGTTTGTGCTCTAGTTTTTTGTACTAAGTATATCAGGGAATTCAAGTTAATTTTTCTGCCGTCTGAGAAACTTGTTTATAGCTCATTTTTTTCTCTAACTCGGCCAGGACCTTATTTTTGTTCTAGAGTCCAGGCAGCACATAGACGGCATCTGCCCGCTTCAGATGGCAGCTTTTCCTCTGTGCGTGGGCCCTGATGTCCACTTCAGGGCGGCAGAAGCCCGGGTGGAACTCCCGGCTCCAGCAGATGTGTCCGGGCTGCCTGCCCTGTGCAGCCTTAGAGACTCTGCTGCAGGTCAGCCACAGCCACTTGCAGGCCAGCAGGCGTAGCTCTCGGGTTCCAGCCCTGAGGCTCGTGCCTGCCGGGTGAGGCCCAGGCTGTGCTTCTGAGTTGAGGCTGCATCTGGAGGGTATGAAAGGAGAAGGGCAATCTTTAGGCCCCGAGCGAGGAAGGGCTTCTGTGCTGAAGGATGGTCCAGGAGGCGCCACAGAGCAAGGTCGGGGTCTTGTGGACGGCGCGTGGCAGCGTGGCCCTGGCCCAGGTTTCAGAGCAGTGCTCTTCCCACTAGATGAGGGGTTCGACCAGCTGCGGCCCAAGGCCGCTCACCACCTGCCTTTATAAATGCAGCTTTATGGCAGGCGCGGTGGCTCAAGCCTGTAATCCCAGCACTTTGGGAGGCCGGAGACCGGGCGGATCACGAGCGTCAGGGAGTTCGAGAACCCATCCTGGCTAACAAGGTGAAACCCCAGTCTACTCGCAAACAAATACAAAAAACCCTAGCACGGCCGAGGGCGGCGGGCACCTTAGGTCCAGCTATTGGGAGGCTGAGGCAGGAGAATGGCGTAACGCCGGAGGCGGAGCTTGCAGTGAGCTGAGATCCGGCCACTGCACTCCAGCTGGGGCGCACACAGCGAGACATCCGTCTACAAAAAAAAAAAAATAATAAATGCAGCTTTATGGAAACAGTCACGCTTGCTCATTTACTCTTTATCAGTGGCCGCTGTTGTGCTACTTATTTATCTCGGGCCATCAACAAAATTCTCCAGACTGGGCGGCTCAAATAGTAGATGCTTATCTCTCACAGTTGTGGGGGCTGGAAGTCCAAGATCCAGGTGTCTGGCGAGGGCCGTGCCTGCTCCACAGATGCTGCCTCCGTGCTGTGTCATCTGTGGCTCAGCTGCCATGGCCTGCACAGAGAGATTAGGTTTTCACGCTTATGGCCTCATTTTGCCTTGAGTAGCTCCTGCAGACCCTGTCTCCAGATACAGCCACACTGGGGCTGGAGCCTGAACATAGGAGTTTGCAGGACACTCAGTCCACAGCAGGTTTTCCATCTTGGCCTTTGTGGAAGACGCCTGCCCAGCACCCTAATTCCTAATCACTTCCAGCTTTACCGACAATGTCAGTCATTTGGTGTGCCTTGTGAAATTTTCAGCAAGGATTTCATCCTCTTCTCCTCATGTTTCCCGCATTCAGAAGCAGGCACCACTGGCTCTGGGACAGTGCTGGGAGCTGCCTTGCTGTTGAACATCTCTCCCTGGTGGACGCAGGTGTGCACCCCCGCCAGCCTCGCTCACCTTCATACCGTGGCCTGGTGCCTGTGCAGGCAGCATCCTTAGCACAGCCCTGGGCCGGGCACACACCTCAGATGGCATATTCATTTACTTCGCCTCCAAATCCACATTCACAGATGAGGAAACTGAGGCACACACAGATTGAAACATCGATCTGGGTCCAGCTAGTGACTGTGGTGCTTCTGGGCGCTACGGGGCTGGTGGGCTCTGGGAACCCAGGACTTGAGCCCAGAGCCCACACAGTTTCTCATTATGCTACACCAAGTATAGGTTTGATATTTGTTTTGAGAATAAATGACCCTACATAGAAAAGTCAGCATAGCTCATTAAAGAAAGTGAAGGGAGGTTTCCTGTCTCTCACTTTCATTGCTGTTTTGGGGACTGACTGGAATGCATTCAGCTCCATAATTATTGACTCACTGCCTCCCACTCCCCCTCCGACCGTGGGCTAGGAGCTCTGAGCTCAGGCAGGGGTGAGTGAGCCATGTCCCCAGGGCAGCCCTGCCTCAAAGGAGCTTGCAGCCCAGGGTGGGGCGGGGGCAGATACAGGGACACAGCCGCCCAGCTCAGCTGAGAGCACAGGAGCCTCCAGGTCATCTGTGACTGGCCGGGGTGAGGGATGCGCCAGGTGCAGAGGTGGAGGCTCAGGGCGTGCTGGGGAGGAAGAGAGGCTCGTGGAAAAGTCCAGAGGTAGGAGGTGGGAAGGAAGCCTGGAGTCTCTGGAACAGGACATTCCCAAGCAGGAAGGAAGCCAGTGGGGCTGGAGATGAAGGCGAGGCTTTCCTCAGGGCAGCAGCAGGGAGAAGACATAGTCTGGTACGCCCAAGGTAGGGAGCCCTCGGTACCTGTGTGGCTGTGATGTGAGGCCCCCTTTGGGGAGGGGTGGGAGCGTCCCCTGTGGCACACACTGTTGTGAGCTTGTCTCAATCATGTGGCGTGGACGTGGGGCTGTGACGGCAGTGACTTCCTAGACACCGATGTGGCCACAGGTGGCCTGGACCGGGCACTGCAGCAGGACAGAGGCACAGACATCCTGGGGGGATACAGGACTAGGGCCAGGGCTTGGCTGACAGCTGGGGCAAGAGGGAGGGGGACCCCAGGCCGTCATGGGGCTGGGGCTGATGCAGGGGCCACGGTGGGGCCAGACTCGTGGCCAGGGTAGGAGGGGCCATGGGGCGCACTGAGAATGGGCATGGAGGGGGCAGCTCTGAGACCCAGACCCAGGAGGAGGGGCCATGGCTAGAAGGCTGGGCGGCTGGGGAAGGCAGCCCTCAAGCGCAAGAGAACCTCGGTCGGGGCAAGAGGAAAAAGGCAAATGTTTACATTTGTGTTTCTGGGTCAGGTAGAGACAGTGGTTTGTGAACGGCAGAAAGGTCATGGGTCTGTTCCATGCACTTAACCCTGGGGTCTGGGTCCCTCCAATGAAGAGGAGGCCTCTGGGCTGCCGGGTTCCTCCGAGGGCAGACGTGCATCGCCGGGCAGCCCCAGGGTGTGACTGGAGAGCTGAGCCCAGCCCCAGCACCACCGACCCCGTCTGCGTCACTCAGCGGGACAGCCCAGTGGGCAGCCACATGGTTTGAGAGGTTTCAGAGAGCCCTGAGAGCAGAGAGAAGAAATACGTAGAGACAGTGTTTCCCATTGTTTTTCAAAATGTGTGAGCCAAATAAAGCAGGGAAAGGAACACTGACCACAGACATCCTGTGAGCGTGGCACTCCTGGGCACTGTGGGGCTGCTGGGCTCCGGGATCATCTGCACCTCAGCTGGAATATTTCCTGAAGGAGTGCCAGACCGAGTGCTGCCTCTGTGTGTTTTGCTGTGTTCTCTGCAGTTGAGGCCCGTTGCAGGGAGTGGAGCTGGGATCCCACCACATCACACAGGTCACCCTGGGGCAGCCTTTTCCCCGGTTCACTCAGGAAAGGGACGGCTGTTTAGCATTTGCTGCTGCTTTGACAAGTGCGCTTGGGAGGATTTAGGATTTCAATTCCTGTATTGAAGCAAGTGACACACTGAAGTTGTGAGAAACGGTGTGCACTGGGGGAGGCTGTCCTGTGGTTGTAACATGTCTGTCCTGTTCCCAACAGGGCTCCACGTGTTCCCCACATTTGTGGTGTACGAGCTCACGGTGCTGGTGTTCCTCACCTTGTCAGTGGTGGTCATGAAGGTATGGGCTGGAAGGGTCCGCGCCCCTCGCAGTTTGCAGGCCCAGCACAGCCCTCCCTGTGGCCCTGGTTTCCAGCGGGGCCCACATCAAGCCTGCAGAGCTGGCCCTGTCCCTTGTCTCGGAGGAGGGCCACTGGACCCCGGGGGGGGCAGATGTAGATTAGGCTGGGTGGTCTGGGTTTGTCCATGTGATCGATTGTTTCGGAATTGAGGGTGTTTAAAAGGGGGAACTACCTTTTGGGACCCTCAGGACGGGCCTTGGCCGCAGTCCGACCTGTCCTCTTCTGACAGATGCAGATGTGCTTTTTAAAGACCTGAGAATGGTGTAGGCACTTTGTCTGTCCTGCATGACTGCCAGTCACGAGCTGCCTGTGTCCACATTGAACTGAAGGCGTGGTGACGTAGTCAGCAACCAGTGGCTTTCTGCCTCATAAACAGTGACTTAGATAATTTCCATTTTAAGGGGCCAGAATCTATGATGATCGCTGGGCCACTCCACCAGCTTTTAGCTGCTCAGCCCAGAGACACGCATCTCTCTGTATGAAAAAGAAATTTCCAACTTGAGTACCGCATGCTTAATGCTATTAATCTAGTTTGGTTGGGGCGAGGGCAGGGGGGCGGGGGCACGGGCAAGGCTTATTTTCTGCTAATGAACCTAAACCCTTAATGTTGCCTTTTTGTTCTGTGTGGATTATTTAAGATGTTTTGCGTGTGTCTGGTGCCTTCGGGTATTTGGAGTGCTTCTGTGCATTTCCCTGGTTGGTGTGTTATTCGGGGACCATCGCAGCGTCCCTGTGGTTTGTCTGGGTTCTCTCTTTCGTGTGTGTTTAACTCTGTGCGGGTCCGGTCTTCAGCGGTCTTCAGCGGTGGCGTGATGAACCTCTCTTGCAGTTTCTCCTGGCGGTGCTGGTCCTGTCTCTCATTCTGCCGAGGAGCAGCCAATACATCAAGTGGATCGTCTCCGCGGGGCTTGCCCAGGTCAGCGAGTTTTCCTTTGTCCTGGGGAGCCGGGCACGAAGAGCGGGCGTCATCTCTCGGGAGGTGAGTGGTTTCCCCCGCGAAGCGCTTCTTGGGCAGCACGGGCTGCACTCTGGGTTTGAGGCAGGTGTGGCGAAGGTGGCTGGCAGCCTGGGGGCAGGGTCTTCTTCCAGGTGGGCACACAGAGGCCTGGCTGCTCTCTGCTCATCCAGCATGTGACGTTTTCAGAGGAAAGGTGCAGTTAGTACTACTTGAACTGTTGCATTAACTTTTTACAACAATTCTAATTGTAGTCAGATATTTCTTCTGAAAGAAAACTGACTTTTTAAAGCTTAACTGCCAGTGTGCACATAAGTAGCACCCAAGAAACTGAAATACCAGAGTGCCCTGAGAGCTGGGTGGAAGTTCCTGTGGACACTGGGATGGCCTTGGGCATTCAGATTCACGGGCTTGTCTCCTTGCATTTTGTAAGGGTGAGGCGGGTAGAAGTCCAGGTGTTAAGTGCAGTGGAAGTAATTGCTGAAAAATAGAATTGCTTACAGGAAGCTCCACCTGAGGCCTGACCCAAGGCCGCATCCCCAGGGTCAGGGAAGCTGTGGGGCAGGCTCACTTGTACTGCAGCCCGGGGTTGGCCTTCAGGCAAACACAGGCTAAAGCTGTTACCCTGTGGCCCATCAGGACTAACCATGCATCATTGATCTTCAAATCATAGCCCCTCCTGCATCCCAGTGTCCTCAACTTCTGGCTGTACTTCGATGTGCTTTAAAGAGATAGTAGTGAATTTATGATGTGCAGGCATCCCTCCCAGCACTCAGCGTGACCGCGCTCAGCTTCCACCCCCCACCCACCCGTGCAGTCATCCCTCCCAGCACTCAGCGTGACTGCGCTCAGCCTCAGGACTCTAGCTTTGCAGGCGTCCCTCCGAGCTCAGTGAGACTAGCCCTGTGCTTTCCTATTGCAGGTGCAAGTCCTGACAGTGTCTGTGACCCACTCTGCACTTTGCTGTTGCAGGTGTACCTCCTTATACTGAGTGTGACCACGCTCAGCCTCTTACTCGCCCCGGTGCTGTGGAGAGCTGCAATCACGAGGTGTGTGCCCAGACCAGAGAGACGGTCCAGCCTCTGATGCACGGAGATGATGGACCTTGGAAGGGAAGCATCTGTGGGGAGTGTGCGCTTAAATGGCCAGCAGCTGCTCCTTAAATGGAAGCTCGCACCTTGGCAACAGAACAGCTCTCTAGCAAAGTGTCGGTGCAGTCGTGTTATCCTGGCTTTTACAGAATATTCCTGTCCCATTGTAGAATTTTCCAGAGTAGTTTATTTGCAGTCAGTTGATTATGTGCAGTAGACCCGGGACGCTGCATTTTACCAGTCGCCTTGAATGTGTTGCCTGGATGTGCCTTTTTTTTCCCTGAAATTAATTATTATTAATTTTCTATTGTGAGTTCATCAGTTCATAGTTTTTTTAGTAAAGAAGCAAAATTAAAAGACATTTAAAAATGTGCAACTTCTGGCTGGGCGTGGTGGCTCACGCCTGTAATCCCAGCACTTTGGGAGGCCGAGGCGGGTGAATCACGAGGTCAGGAGATCGAGACCATCCTGGCTAACATGGTGAAACCCTGTCTCTACTAAAAATACAAAAATTAGGCATGGTGGCGGGTGCCTGTAGTCCCAGTACTCCAGAGGCTGAGGCAGGAGAATGGTGTGAACCCGGGAGGCAGAGCTTGCAGTGAGCTGAGTTCGCACCACTGCACTCCAGCCTGGGCGACAGAGCAAGACACCGTCTCAAACAAACAAAAAAATGTACAACTTCAGAATTATAATCTATTGGTCAAATATTTGTTATTAAACATCTCTGTAATGTGAAGTTGTAATCCTAGCAGTGAGCTTGGAAGCTTACTTTTGATTCTTAAAGCCTATGTTTTCTAAAATGAGGCAAATATGGATGTCCGTTTGCCTTTTATTGTAACTATTTTAAATGAAATAATTTCATGTCAATTTCTATTAGTTATGTCACTTAAAATATTTGGTTTTAAATCGCAAGAATATTCTTTAATAAAGATAATTTATGATCAGGGTATAATTAATTGAAATTTATTAAAATCTTTTTATTAATTTTTTGTGTTGAGTTAATCTTTACAAGAAATTTCAGCCAATTGTTTTTTACTAAGATGATTTCTAGATTAACATGCTATTCTCCAACACACCAAATTAATGCAGTGTTAATTGATAAGTTATAACTTTTGATATTTAAACGTCTATTTTGGTGATTATGTGCCCCATTTTAGAAAACCGCACAGGTGAGGATCTGAGCCTCACAAGGACTTCCCTAAGGGGCATCGTGCCCATCTGTTTTGTGCTGCTGTAATAGAATGCCTGAAACTGGGTCATTTGTAAAGAAAACAAACTTATTTCTTGAAATTCTGAAGTCTGGGGACAACAAGATGGAGGTGCTGGCAGGTCAGGCCTGCTCTCTGCTTCCAGGATGGCGCCTGGAATGCTGGGTGCTAACATGGTGGAAGACCAGGAGAGCGAACCCACTCCCTGGGCCCCTTTGTGTGGCAGCACTGATTCACAAGGGCAGATTGACCTAAACACCTCCCTTCAGGCCTCACCTCCCAACGCTTGCACTGCACATCGAAGGGACAGAAGCATTTGAACTGTAGCAGGTACCTTATTAGGCTTTTTCAATTGCATGAATTGTTTTAATTGACAGATAAAATTCAACATATTTATTGTGTACAACATAGCAAGTACTTTAAGCCAGGGTTTTCCTGTAAGTGTCAGCTTTAAGAGCCTAACAATTTGATCAAAATACTTGAGATAGAGAAGGTAAAAATGCCAGGTATAATTATGTATTGCACATATAAATTATGGATTGCAGTAGTATAAATTAAAGCATTTTGAAGTAAGTTGTATCCAGTCTGGGCAACAAAACGAGAGTCTGTCTCCAAGAAAAAACGATAAATAAATAAAATAAAAACTTATCATTAATACACTGTCAGGGATGTATATGAAAAGATAGTATATCCATAAAATAAAAACAGAATACCATGAAAAATAAATAATCAAGAAAAAAATCTCTTTGAAATGAAAACAAAAAAAAAAAAGGATTACCAAAATAAAAACACTTGGGAGAGATGGACGAGACAGTGGAACCTAGGAGCTTGGCCAATGCTCCTAAGACCTGGGGACTTTCCCAGGTTGCTTCTGGCAGCTCTGTCCCTGGTGTCTTTGGTTCTCTTTTTCTGGACCCTCTTTTGGACAGCCTGGTTTGATCCTCTAATTTTCTTACATTTTCCCTGCCATTTTCCATTTCTTTGTCGCAGTCATATGGGCGCCACAGATACCCACCCACACAGTAAATGAAAGAAGTCCCTTACAAACCACATCATCACAAAATTTCAGAACACTGAATAAAGTTCTAAATAGCTTTCAGAAAGAAACAAAACCAGCTCTCAGGCAAAGGGACAGAGATAAAAAGGCCTTGGGCTTCTCAACAACACGAAAGCAGTAGAGTGAAGCTGTTGAGATTCCCAAGGAAAATGAATTCCACCTAGGATCCGATACCTGGAGAATGAGCCATGAAGAGCATAATAAAGATGGCTTCAGAGTCACAAGCCCCTCCTCTGGAAGCTGCTGTGGAAAATGTTTCAAAACCAAGACAGATGACCTGGGGTCCAGCACACACAGCACCACCCTGAGGGGATTCCAAGGAGAGTTCTGGGACAAGAGCTGCCCACCTGGGTAGAGAGCAGCTGGTCAGCTTGGAGGGGCCTAAGGAAGGGAGCTCTCCAGGAAACACAAGCACTGGTCCTCCACCTACACAGGTGTGTGTATGTGCAGGTGTGTGTGCACAGGTATGTGCAGGTGTATGTACAGATGTGTGTGTACAGGTGTGTAGGTGTGTGCAGGTGTGTGTACAGGTATGCAGGTGTGCATGGGTGGACGTGTGTGCACAGGTGGGTGTGTGCAGATGTGTGTAGGTGTGCATCTACAGATGGGCATGTGTGCACAGGTGTGTGTAGGTGTGGTGTCAGGTGTGCAGGTGTGCATGGGTGGACGTGTGTGCACAGGTGGGTGTGTGCAGATGTGTGTAGGTGTGCATCTACAGATGGGCATGTGTGCAAAGGTGTGTGGGATATGTGTGTGCAGATGTGTGGAGGGGTGTATGTGTAGGTGCACATGCATAGGTGTTTGCATGCGTGGGTGTGTGCAAGTGTGTTTGCAAAGGTGTGTCCAGGTATATAGGTGTGTGTGCAGGTGTAATGTCCCTCATGTGGGTGGGGTTGTGTGCGTGGGTGTGCACAGGTGTGTGTAGATGGGGGGTGTAGGTGTGTGTACATGGGTGTGTGCAGGTATGTAGGCATGTGTCCAGGTATAATGTCCCGTGTGTGAGTCTTGGTAGGTGTATGTATGCAGATGCAGACATGTAGGTGTGTGTGTGGTGTGTGTGCAGCTCTGCATGTGTGGGGGCTGAGTTGAATTTGCACCTTCCACTAGAAGAACTAGGGGTTGCCCAGGCTGTTTCCCTGGTTCCCAGTGGGCGAGAGGAACACAAGAGTGGGCTCACAGCCCCAGGGCAATGGTCAGGCTGGCGAATCCTGGACATGGGTCAGACATGAGCCTCAGGGCATCTGCCACTGCAAGCAAGTTTCCCATGTGAGGGACCCTAGGCACACAATGGACAACCAGGCATTGCTGTTGCTGCTGGCCTGGAACCGTGTCATGAAGAGCATGGATCTGCACAGTTGTCCCTCATTACATGTTTGTTGATTGACTGACTGACTGAATCCAGGCAGTGAGAATAATGGCACTCAGAGGAGGGGCCCAAGGAACAGAGTTGGGAGTGGTTGCTGTGCTGTGATCCCTTGAAGGATGGTTTAGAGGCTTGTTTCTCAAACAGCAAGTGGAGAGCAAATTCAATTTGGAAGATTATGACTGCCATTAGAAAGGGAAGTGGAACAGAATAGATGGTGAGGGTGCACCGTCTCATGAAGACTTTGGTTCCATTTTACACCTACTTCCCACTTGTGTGTGTTTATGTATGCTGATGATGCATAAAGTAGCTTCTCACTGAGGTAGTCAAGAAAGTCTGAAGCCACCGGGTGTAATGTCACTGAGGAAAGAGGGCCCAAATGGCAGGGGCAGGAAACTGAGGCTGCCCAGCATGGTCAGTGACCAGAGGGCTGTGAAATGAAGTCCTGAGAACCCAGGGCTGGGGGTACTCTCGAGGGAGGGGATGAGGCTGTGGCTCTCTTTCCATGGGTGTGTAACTGGAGTCTTTCCTTTCACAATCTAACCAGATTATTCCATGATCTATGAATAAGATGAAGTGTGGTCCAGAGAAACAGACCCAAGAACTAGAGGCAAGGGGAGGTACAAGGGGCTGTGAGGAAATAATTGAACAAGGATACATGTAGCTGTTGTCTATGTGAAAGATTACAAAAAAAGGACATCACTGGCAGGCGCGGTGGCTCACACCTGTAATCCCAGCACTTTGGGAGGCCAAGGCAGGCAGATCACGAGGTCAGGAGAGCGAGACCATCCTGGCTAACATGGTGAAAACCCATCTCTACTAAAAATACAAAAAATTGGCTGGGCGTGGTGGCACGCACCAGTAGTCACAGCTGCTCGGGAGCTTGAAGCAGGAGAATGGCTTGAACCTGGGAGACAGAGGGTGCAGTGAGTCGAGATTGTGGCAGTGTACTCCAGCCTGGGAGACAGAGCAAGACTCCATCTCAAAAAAAAAAAAGAAAAAAAAAAGGGCGGTGGGAAGGGAGCGTCACTATTTCAAATTTAAAGATTATTAAAGGGAGATCATTGTATCACTGAAGTGTCTCCGCTGTTTCAGTGGTCTGGAGTGAGACATGCCTACGAGCCAATGTGTCCACAAACCGATGTGTCTGAGCAGGTGTCACCTGCACCCTGTGGGAAAAGAGCACATTTCTGGGGGGCTTTCTCTCTAAGCCCATGCTCACTTCGGATGTCAGTGTCGGCTTGCACCCCCTGAACACGTGCAGGTCTGGACAGGGTTGCGCAGGTTTTGAGATGGGCATTTCCTCCCCCAGCATCTCAGGGTGCGTTCTTGGCAGCCCCAGCCCCAGGAAAAACCGAGTTCCCTGTGTTCCTGGTGTTTGTTTTACAAAAGCCTAAGTAGCAGGAACATTTGCAGACTCAGCTGAGAGGGTGAAAGGGGAGGCAGGCATGCAATGTAGGCAAAAGCTGGGAGGGGCTGACAAAGCTTCTCAAACTTCAGTTTGGGGACGGGAGGGTGAGAGGAGCACCCAGCAGCCAGGACGCGGTAGCCTCACAGAGGGTAGGGGCTCAGGATGCTGGCCACTGCTGCCACATCCCGGACACAGGGAGACAGCCCAAGGACAGATAGACAGGTCCCACGGGCCTGTGAGTGGGTGGTGTACAGAAAGTGAGCTCTGCTGCAGAAGCCAAAGGGCACTTCCTACCCAGCTGAACTGCAGCCAAGATCCCGCTGCTCACCAAGACATGGCCT